AGAGATTAATATCCAAAATATATGAAGAACTCCTGAAATTCAACAACCAAAAAAGCAAACAACCCAATTAAAAAAATAGGCAGGGCCGGCCAAGTGGCACGATGGTTAAGAACTGGCTTGGGATGCCAGAGGGCCCCAGTTCGGATCCCACATATGAGGGCCAGTGACACTGCCCTCCACAGCTAAGATGCTGAACAACAGCTCAACCTGGAGTTGGGTTGCCATGAGTCGCCAGCGACAGCATAGGCTGCAGCCCCTGTGGCAGTAGGTTGCCATGGGCTACCGTGTGTAGCCAGCAGCCAGCGTGAGCGGCCAGCAGCCTCAGTGAGCGGCCGTCCAGAAGCCGGCGACTGATCTGCCTCACCCGGGAAGAGCGCAATGATGGTGCCAACTTGGGCCAGTGAAGCAACGTCCTCCACAACTAGACTGAAGAACAAAACGACAGCAACTTGTCTGTTCCCCTTCCCGCAATTCCCCAGCACTGTTCCCTTCCCCCCAATAACCCCCCCCAAAAAAATAGGCAAAGAGATTGAATAGACACTTCTCAAAGGAAGCTATATGAATGGACAATAAGGATGTGAAATGATGCTCAACTTCACCAATCATTAAGGAAATGCAAATCAGAACTACAATGAGATCCCACCTCCCAATCATTAGGATGGCTACTATCAAAACAAAAAAAAACCAAAACAGAAATAACAAGGGTTGGTGAAGATGTAGAAAAACTGTAACCCTTATATACTGTTTTTAGACTATAAAATGGTATAGATGCTATGGAAAACAGTATGGCGGTCCTCAAAAATTAAAAATAGAATAATCATATGATCCAGCAATTCCACGTATCACTATAAATCCAAAAGAATTGAAAGAAAGTTCTCAAAAGAGATATTTGTATACCCATGTTTCTAACAGCATTATTCACAATAGCCAAAATATGGAAGCAACCCAAGTATCCATTGTCAGATGAATGGGTAAGCGAAATGTGATAATAGTCATACAATGAAATAGTATTGCTCAGCCTTAAAATGGAAGGAAATTTTGATATATAGGATACAACATGGATGAACCTTGAGGACATTATGCTAAGTATAACAAGTCAGTCACAAAAAGGCAAAGACTTAATAAAAATTAAAAAAAAAGGCAAAGACAATTTGATTCCATTTATATGAGGTACCTAGAGTGCTGGAAATCAGAGACAGAAAGCAGAATGCTGATTTCCAGGGGCTGGGAGTAGAGGGGAAGGGGAGTTATGTTTAATGGGTATAGAGTTTCAGTTTCACAAGATGAAAAGAGTTCTGGAGATGGATGGTGGTGATGGTTGCATAATAATATCAATATACTTAATACAACTCTGCTGTACATTTAAAAATGGTTAAGATGGTAAATTTTACATTATGTATATTTACCACAAGAAAAAAATTGAAAAACAAACAATCAAACAACAGGTAGAAGGTCCATTTCGACCTTCTGCACATAATTTGCTGGGCCAGTTTGCTTACCAGTGAGGTAGGCTATTGCATTTTAAATTCTAAGCATAAACATAATATTTTAAAGTTAGCATCAAAGTGCCATTTTAAACTATCACATTCCTTAGTTTTTTTTCCTGCATAGTTACATATAATTTCTTTAGTAAAGCTCTTAAGATCAGAAGTCAATCTCCTAATACCTAGAAAAACATGTTTTTCATAAGGGCTCACAAGTTTTGACTAATAATTAAATGAAAGAAGTTGTCCCAATAACATGAATCTTGGCATTTATTATTATATAAATAAACTTGGCATTTCAACAATAGGGTAAGGTCATAATGTTATTCAATTACCCTCTAACACATTCAGAGAAAATCAGACTTTGAACAAAAAGTTCAGCATCTTAACAAGTTTATTTTTCTTATTTGGTAATCAAAAATTTTTGAAATTACACTATAAAAACTTTAATAGCTGCCTCCTAGCAGAAATGAATATAGATTGCCATATGACAAAAGAAGGCTGTCAATAATAATAATATTAAAAATAATAATACTGTAAAGCACATCTTTAATTTAAAAAGTCAAAATAACACTGGAAGTTAGGATCTTGAGCTCCTTAAAAATGATTACTAGTAGCCTGCATTCCATTTATGGCTTCACCTCCATCTCACCTGTTGATATCTATGTAATCAAAGGTTCTCTGATGTGGTTACATATTAGAATCACCTGAGCAGCACTTTCAAACTCTCCATGCCCTTGTCCCATGCCAGATGAAATCAGAATAGGTAGGGCATGTGAGAGCACAGGAATTATTGGGTTGTCGGAAAAGTCATGACGTATTTTTTCTATGTTTTTCATTGCAAAAATGCATCATGACTTTTCCAACAACCCAATAGTATTAAAAATCCCCATGTAATTTTCATGTTGAAACCTCAGCTAAGGCATTCAACTTCCAAGTAGTCAATACATTTTAGCTACCAAGAGCTCCCTTTACACCAGTGAACTTTAGAACCAATAAAGCATCCAAATAAAAGCTTAAGAAAGCAGCTGCTAAACCATTCCTTAATTTTTACTACATTTTCAATTGACTCCATAGCTCCAAAGTTCCAATATTATAAAATAGGTTTTTTACTCCTGATCATTCCTGAACATTTCTTTCGGAATCAAAACATTAAGGTCCCTCAAAGCAAGGTCAACTACACTGTTAACATTTAAATTTCAGAGGAGCTTTTTGTTTTTTTAAGCATATCTGAATGGGCAAGTAAAAAAAACAAAAAAAAAAACAAAACAGCACTAGTAGCTCCAAAGCTAAGGTACCCAAGAAGACTCTGAAACTTTAAATGTATCATATTGTGGTTAGAAAAAGATTAAAAGCAATTAACACAATGAACTAGTCCTAGGTTTTCCTTCAGGTTTTGCCTCTAATTTGCTACAGGACTCCAGCAAATTCAGTGTCTCTGGGCTCCAGACTGTCATTTGTAAAATATGGAGTTTCACTAAAGCTCTTTGAAATGACCTGTTACAACAATGTAAGACTTGGAAAATTACAGGGATTCTTTAGGGCAGTAATATACAAGGATAAGGATGAAACTAGGCCTCACAGGCTATTAGAGTAATGAGTAATGATTTAAGAAGTTTTATAGGAAGGATTTTACTTCCCAAATCTAACAATTTATTATAACATGTTGATTGTATTGAGATTGCTCCCTGCCACCTCCCAAATACCTGTATCTAGGATAATTTTTTTCATAATTAAAACCTTTTAATATTTTGGATTTTTGAGAAAAAGAACAAAAGCAATAGTGAACATTCAACAAATATTATGTAATAGACACTTGGGCTACACTAAGTGACAAGATAGGCAAGTGAAAGAAGACAGATAAGGCAGAGAAGTGATTTGTTTACACTTTTCAAATATTGATTAAGTTCTCTGAGTAGAATATCAAGTAAATTGATACAGTTGGTTTTTTTAGATACGATGTTGAAGCATTACGCCCCTCATTAAATTTGAAGAGGGAAGGGCAAAATTCCTTACAAGTATTTTCTCCATATTTGAGAAGTTAGATAAAGCAGTTTGGTACATTCTTTTGAAGCAAAGAATTTACTACTTTAACCTTTAAATTCTCAAAAGTAAACTCTGAAGGATCTTAACTGTAGTTGTGCTTATCTCTAGAAAGTGCTTACCGTTCCTTCATCTCAGAGCGATCTGATCTCATCTATTTACTCAAAAGTACATGATTTCTGAATGAACACCCATAGGTGTATTGTGTGTATATGTGCACATGCTAGGTTCGTTGTTTTTCTGTTTTGTGTTTTAGTATTTTGACCTAATCCATTTTCAAATCCATCTATTTAATTATATCTTCTTTTGTAGTACCCAAGTACATTTCAGTACCCTGAAAGCTGTCTCATCTTCAATGTACATAACTCTGCAGCTCCATTGCTCTTATGATTCATCTTTCTATCAATGTATTTCTTGACTCATACAAAACTAATTTGAGAATGTATGGAAGAAGGTAAGATAATATTTAAACAATGAAAGAACTGGGGAAAGAACAGCAACAGAAGTCAATAGTAATAAGGCTACTTGCTGAGGGGAGAAGATAACTATTTGTAACAAAATGAAAGAATTAATTCATACACTACCAAGTTTCCTCTATGTACGCATTATACTACATATCTTTTATATTAGTCATGTTGCTTTGAGACTTTTCCATGTTTCCCCTAGACAACTGCCAATGTTCGCATGGTCTCTGATGAATAAACATGCTGTGACTTGCCTCTAAGGAAACGCCTGTCATGTTCCAGGGAAAAATGACTTCTCTACTCTTAAATCAGGAAAACTGTACAAGTCTCATTCATTAGTTACAAAGTCGATTTTTCCTTAACGTTTTGTTTCTGGAATGTTTCTATTCTCTTTAGGGCTTCTCTACGTTCAGATTTTTAGAAAAGAAACTGAGTTGGGGAGGGGGAAACACTTGTATGAAAAAGTTATACTATATCGAAGGGGTTTCCCACTTCAGAAGCTACACTAACACCCATGCTGAGCCTTCCCTGTTAGCAAGATGAAGGTTATTTTCAGGTTCTCCCCATCTCTTGCAGAACTACGTGTTCTCATTACTGTTTACCCAAAGGCTTAGCAAGGTGATATTAGCATATCTGGCAGGAAGACATGCTTCATTTAATATTAACTCACCATGTGACAGCCCCTTCCCCTCCAATCTCTCCTCAAACACGTGAGGATACAAAGGAAATCAGGGTTGTTTGCAGTCTGACTTCGCGCTCGGCTTTGGCACCAGCAATTGGTCACAGGCACACACACCCCCAATCAGAGGCGCGCACCCCGCCCGGCCCTGGAACTGTCAGGCGGGCTGACAGCTGGCACATTCTCCCGTCGCCCTCCACCCGCTCGCAGAAAGCCCCTTCCTTAGTCTTTTTGACATTACCCACCTGCCTGGCCTCAGACCTCGACGAAGGAAACTTTTTTTCCCCTTTCCAGGAGCTCACTTACAGGTATCGCCCGCCGCTCTTCCAAGAGCCCCAACAAGGAGCCCTTTGTTACAATCTCCGCTCCGGGACTCCTCACCCAATTCCTGGCATCCAGCTGCTCTTCAGCAGCTCAGAACAGCCCCAGTAGGAAAGCAATGAAAGCCTACCAAGCCCCCACCCCGGGCGGTCTCCGAGGAGGCTGGAGGGAGCAGCCTCCCCGGCCGCGTGTCGGTCAGCCCGAGAGGCCGCTGGCAGGGCAGTGAGTCGCCGGCCAGGTAAAACGGGTCGAGGCCCTCGCCGCCCTCCCCGATGAGCGCCAGCGCGGCGCTGGCGACTTACCCGGCTGGGACCGTGGGCGGCGTGGTCGCCGCGGAGGTGTGCTGCGCGCTCGGGGCTCGGCCGTCCATCGCCCTGCGGACCGCTGCGCGGGCTCCAGCTCCCAGGCGGCGCGTCACTGCTGGAGTGGGAGAGGCCAGCCGGTCAGGGCGGGACGCGCGCCTTCTCGAGGCCTTAGCAGAGGTGGCCGCGCGTCAAGAGACCGCCCGAGCCACCCAAGCCCCGGGCCCGCCCGCCTACCGAGTGCGCTTCCACCTGCGGTCCCCGGCTCCCAGCCCGCGGGCGCCGGGAGCTGCGGCGGCAGGAGGCGGTGCTGCAGCCCCCGCCCCGTGGGGCTGACTAGGTAGCCATTTGGCGCCTCTCGGGGAGGCAGAGGAGCGGCCCTGGGTGGAGGAGGAGGAGGAGGAGCGGGGCCCGGCGCGCAGGCAGGGCCGCCACGCCTGCAGCGCACCCCCGGGCGTACCAACAAAACGCCCTGGGAAAACTTTGCGCGAAGTCCAGTTGGGAGGGTGCCTTGCTTTTTCCCCACCCAGCGCTCCTACTTTCTTTTCAGGAGACAGTGGCTCGCCTGTTCTGTCCCGCGGCGTCCTTGCCCCACGCTTCCCTCCCCCAGGGCCGCGCGCTCGCAGTTCGGTTCTCAAGCCAGGACTTGAAGGGAGGAGAAAGCGGCAGCCTCCGGAGGCTCAGCCCAGCGCGGGCCGGGCCGGGCCGGGCCGGGGCAGCGCCTCCCCCTGCCCCGCGGGCGGGGTGCTGGGCGCTGCGGGGCCTCTCCCCAAACCGGCTCACTCACCCTGCCCCATTTCCCTGCCCAGAGCCCCGGAGCTCGCCGCCGCCTCTGCTGGACTGCCACCCAGAAGTGGCGATGAGACTCTGCGGCATCGGAGCGAGAGGGGCAGCCAGCTGGAGAGAGAAACGGGGCGGGGGTGGACGGGGACCGAGTTGGAATTTCCTTCCCCCAGGGCTTCGGGTCTTTGGGGTCCGGCTGGGGAAGCTCCCGGGCCGAGTGTTCCCATTCCCACCGCTAGGGTGCCGCTTCGGAAAAGCCCGGCGCGCCCCAGTCGGACAGGTGGGGAGGAAGGGAGGGTACCTGCCCTGCGAGGACCTGAGGGGAGGATCCCGGTGGCGGCCGCGGAAATGGAAATGCGTGGAGCAACTCGCAGAACGGGGTCTGCAGCTTGCCCTCTCTGCGGCCTGACCTTTCACTCCAGGGCGCTTTTTTGTGTTTCAACCTGACTTCTCAGATTGCTGTTCTGTTAAAAGCGTACCTGTGGCACTGATCTATCTAATCGGTGGCAGGTTTAAGCTTGCCCTGGCTTCAGAGACTTTCTTGCTTGCTGGCTGGCTTATTTATTTATTTACTTACTTTCGCCTGTGACGTGAGGACTGGACAATATTATGTCGGAGGGCCTCTATAAACTAAGAATGAAATGATAGATTTTATTCACCTCTTGGAAGTTAAGAATAAAGGAATCACATAGATGCAGCTGCGTGCGTGTATGTAAGTTTTAGTTCCCACGTGCGTTCATGCATACTCTTTTGAGGATTCTTTACACCTGGCAAACAGGTGTATTTGCAAATCTTTATATTATCATAAGTGCCAACTGTTGTAAGGGACAAACCAATTTGGATGAGTTCAAAGCTTGCTTTCAGAAAAATAAATGGAATTAAGAAATTAACTTTAAATACAGTTTAAAAATAAAAATATTTCAACAAACTGTTGTAGAGAGGTTAAGTAAAAAAGCAGCCTAAAGGGGGCCTCTACTGTGGTAGTAACATCAAGTAACAAATATGTGTTAACCACTTCACCCCACTGATAGGATAACATTTGGTAGGTGGTAAAAATTTAATTGATATTTAGAACCAACACTTGATCAAAGGCTCCTTTAGTTATTTATGCATTATTGTAGCAACCAAAAAGATTCCTGAAACTAAGTAACATACCAACTACCTAGTAATGGGCCATTTGTCTATTATGGGCAGTCATTAGCATTTATTCCTTCCTGTGCCTAATATCTTCCTTTGAAAAGAAAAAAAAAAAGCGGCTTATTTAGATTACAATATTGAAACCATCTGAAAAAAGTTGTTCTAATATTTTACCTAAGATTAATATAAATCACATTAATTCAGTTAAATGTATCAGGCTTTTAATCTTTAAACAACTCAGGATAAATAATTTCATGAATCAATTATGCCTCTAAGTGACTAGTTGCTTGCACAGACAATAATGCAAACATTGAGCAACAGTGAAACTACTTAATGTCTGTAACTTTCAATCACAAGATCAAGATTAAACTTTAATTAGTTTCAACTTTATGACATAGTAGTAGTATTATTGACTCCATTAGTCTAATCTGAAACATAATACATTTTCATAACATTTCATACTGCTGAAAGGCATTTTCAGTACTCACCAATTTTTCCTGTCGTCTTTCTGGTTTTACACGTAGGGAAAGATTACACTCTCCACTCCACTGAAATTGGGTATAGTGATGTAACTTGTTTGGGTAGGTAAATGTGAGCAGATGTGAAATGTTTTATTTCCTGGTGGATTCACTTGAGGGCCAGTTCTCCACTTGATGCTCTCTTCCCTTTCTGTTGCAATCAGGGAAGTATGTATTAAGATGGAGGTAGCATAGGACTGAAGGATCCTAGAATGCTAAAATATTACCCTGGGCACAGCTGCCCTGGAGAGCCCCAGGGCCTACAATAGAATCTGCATAAGCAAGAAATAAACTTATGTTGGGTGAAGCCACTGAAAAATTGAAGTGGCTTGTTGCCCACCATTACCTAGTTACCTTAGGTATATAGTAGTACCCCCACCCACCTCCACGCCCTTATTTGCAGTTTTGCTTTCTGCAGTTTCAGTTATCCATGATCAACCATGGTTAGAAAATATTAAATGGAAAATTAGAAATAAACAATTCATAAGTTTTCAATTAAGTGTCATATGAGTTGTGTGATGAAATCTCAGGTGTCCTGTTCCATCACACCCCTGGCTTGAATCATCTCTTTGTCCAGTGTACCCACACTATATACCTTTCCTGTCCATTAGCCATGTAGTAGCCACTTAGGGTTATCAGAGTGTCACAATATGGCAGTGCTTGTATTCAAGTAACACTTATTTTAATTAATAATGGCCCCAAAACACAAGAGTAGTGATGCTGACAATGTGGATATGCCAAAGAAAACCTATAATGCTTTCTTTAGGTGAAAATGTATATATGAGGGATCAAAAAATACAGTGAATGTTTAAATTAAAAATATATATATTACAGTAAAAGACACATTGCCATTAATGCCCCTCAAAACATGTCCCCCTCACTTCAAACACACTTATCCCATCATGCTTGCCACTTTCTGAAGCAGTTCTGGAGGTCTTTCATGAGTGTCTTTAGTTGCGCTGTCGTGGCTACCTCGATATCCTGAATTGAATCAAAGCATTTCCCTTTCATGGTCATCTTGACTTTAGGGAAGAGCCAGAAATTGCATGGTGCCAGACCCGGTGAATAAGGTGGATGAGGACACACCGTACTGTTTATATTTGACAGAAATTGCTGTACCAGAAGTGATGTGTGACACAGAGCATTGTCATGGTGAAGGATGAAGTAAAGACACTCACGAAAGGGGACTTCCAGAACTGCTTCAGAAAGTGGCAAGAATGATGGGATAATTGGGTTTGAAGCGACGGGGAGTATTTTGAAGGAGATTAATAGCAATGTGTCTTTTACTGTAATAAATATTTTTTATTTAAACAGTCACCGTATCTTTCGATCATGCCTTGTATGTATAGGAAAAAACATAGTATGTATAGAGTTTGGTTCTATCTACAGTGCCAGGCACCCACTAGGGGTCTTGGAATGTATTCTCCATGGATAATGGGGGACTACTGCATAACCATATTGGTTTTAAACTATGACTTCTCTGACTGCATAGGAACTATTTATGGCAATCAATGACCTTTTATTTGGAATATCACTAAAACATAGTTTTATATCTGGCAAATGTAAAGCCATACACACACACACACACACACTCACACACACACACACACACACACATATTGGGATTAAGTATTGCCTCATAGCTCTAGGCATGATTCTTATGCAGTGTATAAATTTTACAATCTGTCAATGCTATAGAACAAGCTGAGCTATTGCTAACACTATTTCAACACCCAGGATTTCTTTCCAACTCTTTCTGAAATATCTCACTTTTTTTTTCTTCACAATGTTAGAGGAAGTTAAGGAATTTAAGAAGTTAGTGGAACATGCTAATGGCAGTTTTGGAATGAAGTTCTTCCATTTGTGAGTTCTGTATTTCAATTGAAGTTGGCTACAGAAGTCTAGCAAAAAAATAAACAAAAACCAAAAAGTAAACAAACAAAAAAACCCCAATAAATTGTCTAGATATTTCAACATTAAAATTCTTTAAACTTCAAAGTCAAGTCAATTCAGTGGAGCTAGCCATTTTATAATTATCCTATTTTTATTTGTGGGAATTCATAATCCCATATTTGAAAGAAAATATTTTTTTAATTTTAAGTTCATCAATAGACAGTGATAAATTAGTATGATACTCCATGTGCAGGTTTTGAATTATGAATAAATATAACAAATGACTATGCTCTATAAGGGAAGTCTAATGGTAACAGATACATATCATACAACGTTAACTCTGAGAAAAACCATATAGGTCATCTGGTCAAACCATCCATTACATTTAAGAGAAAATCAAGAAGTATAAACAGGATTATCAGATTTAGTAAATAAAAGTACAGGATGCCCAGTTAAATTTGAATTTCTGATAAACAATGAATATTTTTTGGCATAAGTGTGTACCATGCAATATTTAATTATACTAAATACGTATTTGTCTATCTGAAATTCAAATTTAACTGGGTATCCTATGTTTTATCTGGCAACGTTACCCATAGAGGTAT